TTCTGAGGAAATAAATGAGTCAGTTACATATAATTATTGGTTCAAACTAATTTAATTTAATTTAACCAATTTAAATTAATTTAAAAAAGGATTCAGTATGTTTTTTATTTGTTTATTTTTTTTCAAGTGAGTTGCCACTGCTACTGAGCTACACTCTGGACTTTTCCTTCTTTCTATTCTTTCTTCCTTCCTTCTTTCCACCCTCCCTTCCATCCTCCCTTCCACCCTTCTACCCTCCCTCCCTCCCTCTTTTCTTTCTTTCCTTCCTTCCTTCCTTCCTTCCTTTCTTTCTTTCTTTCTTTCTTTCTTTCTTCTTTCTTTCTTTCTTTCTTTCTTTCTTTCTTTCTTTCTTTCTTTCTTTCTTTCTTTATTTCTTTCTTTCTGTTTCTTCCTTTCTGACAAAGTGTCTCACTATGGAGCCTAAGCTGATCTTGAATTTGACAAGAAGTCCAAGATTGCCTCCCACTCCCAATCCATCTGCCTTTGCCTCCTGAGTCCTGGGATTATAGATGTGTGCCACTATACTTGGCTCACCATACTAGCTTTAAAAATTCAATGTATAATATATTATACCTCACTTAAAAGTATCCTTTCATCCTTCTATAAGGGATTATAGATTTAGAAGTGTTCTGTCTAAAGATTCATTAAATAATTGTGGGAATATGTTGAAGTATTCTAATTTTTTCACATTTTTTATCTTGTTAAAGGAGGTACCAGAAGTTTTCAATCTGACATGTCCATACAAGCATTAAATGTGTCCTGCTCAGATTTACCCTTTCCATCATTCTCATCCCATACCACCTTACCATACTAATTTCAACAACCTTCATTGTTCTATTTTTCAGATAGAAAGAGGGAGATATAGAAATCTATAGAAATATAGATAGTAAACAGACAGACAGATAGACAGACAGACAGACAGACAGAAAGATAGATAGATAGATAGATAGATAGATAGATAGATAGATAGATAGATAGATAGATAGATAGATAGATAACATATGTGGAGCATATTCACCCTTCTTTGCCCAAACTTGGCTTTGTTCTTGTTGCTCCATGAACACAAAGCTGAAGGAAATAATCTGAGACCTTCTTTTATTTCTCCCATAGTATTAATCCTTAGATCCCTATTTAATCATGCTACCACAGATTGTTGACTTAGTGTTCCCTCTTGGAGGTATACTCTGGGTGAATTGAGCATGACTAGGGATGGTGACATGTTTCCTAGGAAAGGGCTGGGGGTCATACCAAGACCACATAGGACTGTGGAGAATAGAGGGATCAATTAGAAATCATGGACTGTGGTGGAAAATTTAAGCAACTTTATATGATTTATACTTTTAAACATTATCCATTTTAATGAATTCAAAATGGTCCATAGATGCAAATATAAAATGCTAAATTACAAAACTTCCACAAGATTATAAAGAACAAAATCGAGGTGATTTGGCTTGGGTTTGATGGTAACTTTTAGATTCAACTTTGAAGTCATGGTCCATGAGAGAAATGATTGGTAAGCTAGACTTAATTCTTTTCAAAAAAATGATAAAAATTAATATAAAAAACCTATTCTGTGAAAGACACAACCAAAAGAATAAGGCAAATCACTTTCTGGAAAGTGTGTGTGTGTGTGTGTGTGTGTGTGTGTGTGTGTGTGTGTGTAACAAATGTACCATTCTGATCTGGGGATGTGGAAATGGAGGATTATACATGTAAAGAACAGGGCTTATATGGGATTTCCATTCTGCTTACTTTTGCTGTGAACCTGAAACTGCTCTAAAAATAAGCTACTACAGATAGAACTCATGCTGGAGTAGTGACTACTTTGGAAATGGATGATAACAACAGAATTAGGGCAAAAGTGAAAGCCACAGGACAAGTAAGCTGGTAACTGAAAAAAAAATGAGTGAAGAATGTATGGTGATGCAGAGTTTTGCATCATTATGAAGGACAATGAGAAGTACTTGCATGTGGGATAAATTTTGAAGGTGTCCTGGACAAAATTTCCTAGGTATGTATACCTAAGAAATGATCATGTACTTTTTCATAATTGAGTCAAGTGGTACCATCATCTACTGAGATGAGTAAGCCCATGAGGGGAACTAATGACAAAGCAAAGAGCCATCAAGACAGCCTCTTGGACTGTAATTACATATAATATCAGTGATTTCATAAATTTTCAGGCATGTAGTTTTTGTGCAGTGACATGAAGAGATCCATGATTTGGATCATTTCCAATACAGATGATTACAGAGAATCTCTTCCTAGTTCATCCATCTGTGCATTTGCCATTCTACATCATCTTTGAGATATAAGCACAGCAGTGATGGTTGATTACTGAGGGGACCCTGGGTGGGAGTGGACTGTCTGCCATTACTCAGAGCCTCTGCTCCATCTTCTGAAGTGCTCCTCTAACATTCTCTGTCTGCTCTGATTGAAATCAGATCACTTGAGCTTAATATCCTGCACCTATCTGTACAACCTTCAGTGATAGTTCCCTTTATGCAATGGAAATCGACATGCAGGACAACTACAGACTGTCACCGTGAACCAGCCACCAAGACAAGTAGCCTTGCCTATGACTTCTTTGTGATTACTAGGATTTCCTCTTTTCTAGTGTTCAGCATTAAAATATTTAATATGCTCCCCATTAGAACCACTTGGAACCAAAAAGACACTGAGTTAAAGCTAAATTGGCTTCATTAGTATTAAAATAGGGTTTCCTTGAAGGAAAAACACAAGGTCTGCAGTAAGTGTGCAGGGATACCTGGCCCGATGCACCCATGACTGGCTGCCTTCCTTCCACTTCTAAGTTGTTGTTGCTTCTCTTTTACTTTTTTTTCTATAAAAGACAAGCTATACTGTGAAGACACTGGAAGATTTTCAGTTCCTTTTAGAATGGAAACTTACTATGTGTGCTCCAACTCATTCTATATCTTGAGTTGACTTTTTAATAGTCATCATTGAAGCTGCATTTTGAGTTCCACTATGCTTTTGGTCTGGTATAATAGTCATGGAGTGGGGAGAGTCACACAGGGCTGGGATTCCTGGACATTGGGCTCACCACCATCCAGTACCTTAAACCTTTTGTGTTACTCCTTAACAAATGCTTTGAGTGTAGGAATAGATATAAAACTTAGGCAACTTCTCTGAAAACAACAAACATTTGCCTAATAAAAAGAAAGAGCACAAGACGTTATGTCGAAAAACGAACTTTACAACTTTGGGTCAAGGGATGGGAGGGCAGGAATGGGAAGGGGAAACAAAGGAGGAGGCAACAATGCTTGATAAGAAATGGACTCATTACCTTGTTCATGTACTTGTAACCTCTCTATATGGTATTTTCACAATAAAAAAACTTATTAATAATAAAAAAACAAATAAAAAGAAAACGTCAAAGACTAAGAAATGGAACAGTTGTAGGATAGGTGAAAATAATTTTTAATTTTATAGCTACTGATTATTTTTATGCATGATTTCTATAGTATATCTAAATAGAACCAAACAAAGGCATTGTAGTTTAAATAGCTCTCTGCAAGTTCAAATGGCTTATAACAGTTTTGATATTAACAACTCTGGACCAACTAGAACATGTTAAGTCTGAGGATGGCCAGAACTGTTGTATTCCTGTGGATGCCAAGTGAAGGCATCTCTTTCTCCTCCATTACTTCTGGCCTCATAAACTTCTCTCTCACCCTCTTTCCCTCCCTCCCCCTCCTCTCTTTCTCCATCTCTCTGTTTCCTCCTCCCTCCCTCCCTTCCTCCTGCCCTCCTTTCTCTCTTTCTCTCCCTCTCTCCTCCCCTCTCTCTCTCTCTCTCTTTCTCATTGGTCAAGGGGTTTGCACTCTGAGCCTGAGCTTTTTCGCTCAAGGCTAGCATTCTACCATTTTGAGCCACCACACCACTTCTGGTTTTCTCTGGGTTAACTGGAGATAAGAGTCTCATGGACTTTCCTGCCTGGGTTGGCTTCAAACTGTAATCCTCAGATTTCAGCCTCCTAGGATCACAGGTGTGAGCCATTGGTGCCTGGATTCTTATCTTTTATACTCTAAAAAAGTTTCCCAAATAAAGAATACTAAGTAGCCATAATGCACCAGGATAGGCTTCTGTTTTCCAAATTGGCCTAAAGGATCATTTGAAGTGTTAATATACTTCCAAGCTCAGACCAATAGTGTATAAGTGTATTAAAAAAGCACCACCCCCATACTCAGGCATATTTAATTAGCAACAGTAAGCCCTTTATTTGTTTTTTTTTTTTAGCTATTAGAATATTTTTTATTGTGAAAATATTGTACAGAGGAGTTACAATTACATGGGCAAGATAGTGAGTACATTTCTTATCAAGCATTGTAGCCTCCTCCTTTGTTTACCCTTC